AGAATTCCAGGAGTTAAACTTAAAAGAGCAGGCTTCTCTGACTCTAGGAACAAAAAAAAACCTTACAAGGTTAAGCCATTAATATTTCCCCTGTCCCTCATAGCTGCACACATGCACACAAAATCAGATAATAAAAAATCCCTAGTAAATGTTCTAATATTGAACACTTCAGAATTTTTGCTGTCTTTTTGAAATAAACACTAACCTCTGATTAGTCTGGGATTATGTTTGATGGTCTTAATATATACACTTAATTTAAATTGTCATCTATGATTCATGAAATGTATACATGTAAGCTTTGTTGTTGTTGTTAAAATAAAGGACCACTGGTTCTTCAGGTGTTCATAAAAAGATAATAAAGGGGGCACCTGAGTGTCTGAGTGTCTGACTCTTGATTTCAGCTCAAGATAACATGATAACATGATATCAAGATGTCATGATAACAGAGTCATGGGATTGAGCCCATGTCAGGCTCCACACCAAGCGTGGAGCCTGCTTAAGATTCTCTCTCTCCCTCTGCCCCTCTCCCCTGCTTGCATGCTCTCTCTCTCTAAAGAAAAGAAAAGAAAAAAATAATTAAATCTTTGAGCCTGATATATTTATTTAAATAAAGCCTTCAAGAATCTGTGAATAACTTAACGTTAATACCAGTGATTATTTCAGAAATTACCTGTGACCCAATTTAACAATTGGGATAAAAGCAAACATACCCTGTTGGCTAATAGGAGATGTTCCTTGCTCCAAAGAGTCACAAAAAATGATTTCTCCTACTCTTCTCCCTGAATATTGTCATACCTGTCTAAAAATCTGTCAGCCGTCATGGTACCCTCCAACACTGGAGAATGCATAGTAAAAAACAGAAGAGAATCTGAGTCTCTGAATATTTCCTTTTGCTGATGAATCAAAAATCTCTGGAAACTCCTTTCCCCCCAAGAGCCTGTTATTTGACTCAGTACACTTCCTCATTACTTCAGCTAGTTTAGTATTTTGATTTTGCTGAGTGTATCCTAACTACATCAAATAACTAAGGGTCATGGCTCATCCTGGGAGCTAGAGATACGGAAATAAAACTGATTCTACCACAGCCATCACCCAGCTCATGTGTGCTGGGGATGAACACGCGTGTGCGCACACACACACGCAGAGTCACTGCCTATCACTGCCTAAGTGCTACATCCTGTCCTACATGTTTTACAGATGCTTTGTGAAACCAGATACACCTAATGCATCCAACGTCAGGAGCAAGGAGTGGAAAAATTGCAAGAATATCCAAACAGCTAATAAAGAATCAGAAAAAAAAAAAAAAGGAAATGCAAACATTGATACCTACCAGAGTAGCAAACATTGTTTTAAACTGATGCCAAAGATTGTCAAGGATATAGAGAAAGCAGAACATTCATATAATTGTTGGTGGGAGTTGGTACATTCGTTTGGAAATGTATTTAGAAAAATTAAACTTAAAGTTGGACACAAGCATATCCCTGACCAAACCCAAACCACTCCACTTCCAGTATATGGAGAAAGATATGTACAAGTATGATCACAACAGTCTGATAGGGAGCTCTGACTTCCCAACATAGTATTCCCAGGAACACAAAGTGAAGGATTTTCTATGAGGGGCTATGTTGGAATGCCACTTTTCTGTGGATCGTGGCCAGTACTACATGGCTGCAAAGTCTCCTTAAAGGAAATGTGCTGTGCACTCTGAATCTGTTGTGTCCAAAGTAGAATTTCAAAGACAAGAAAAATCAACAGATAGAACTAGAAATGTGATTAAAGATCTCCATCAAAACAACCCAATACAGGTATACAGTTTTAAAGGACAGGTAATTGCAATACATAAACAAACATGACTTAAAAATAACACTATTATATAATCTCACTCATGACATGTAACCATTGTAAATAGTAGCCAATGAAACCCAGCAGTGCCTCAAAATATACACATATGTCAATAGTTAACCTGGGTTTATCCAGGAATGGGAAAAAGAGGATCTGTCAATATAAATTATCTTTTAATTTAATTTGTTTAACAAAATAAATACCATACATTGCAGGAAGGGATGATGAAATGACATGTGATAAGACTCAGGAGCCATTTCGACTTAGATAAAACAAAGATGTTTACTCACAAGTAAGAGAAAACATTAGAAGGCAACTGTTTGAGAGCATCATGTTAACCACCATTCCATCATAGCTAACAAGTAGACTTGGTGACTGAAATGTCCACCCTTAGAGCCTCTAGCTATGGGAGTATTTCTCAATATAGTTCCATATCCCTAAGATGGAAATATGTAATGAGAACCAGTATTTCCATGGCAAAGTTTGAGATACATGGATTTGTAGGTAAACAATTTTATTCACTAGAATACTCTTTAGTTTTCTAATAAATTGATAAAGTGCTTTTTATTTTTCCTTAAGAGAGGATTTAGTAAGTGCTACTTCATAAGCTTCTTTAACCAGAGAATCCCACTGTTTATCAAGCACTATTCAGTAATGGTAATTTTTGACATATAATTTCAGAAGTTCTGGGACAATTTTAATTGTACAAATTGTTTCTGTATATTGGCTTAGGGTTGTTAATTTTATAGCTTCTCAGTTCAGTGTGATGGGGACCATGTAGACACTGAGAAAACAAGGCATAGTTCTGGTCCTCCATTTGGCCAGATGCATCTTGGTTTTCTCCAAGACACTTTAAACGGCATTTTCCAAGAAAAGAGCTTCAGGAACATTCTACAAGTTCTGATACACAATTCCATCACTTTTCAAACAATCTAGAATTGCTTCAATTTTCTCTTTAGCTCAGAACATATATACATATGATATGACTACATTTTCAAAAGTAGTTGGCCAAGGTCCACCAACCTTGGTAGTTGTATAATGGATCTTTATGACAGAGAGCCTAACACTCACCATCTTAGTCAAATGAGCAAACTTAGTTTTGGCAATAGTGGGAGAAAGGGGAACTACGTGCTTCTGGTGTGTTCCAATATGAAGTACATATCACCACCTATGATGTATTCTGGCCAAATGTTTAAGCCTCTGGCTCTAACTTGACTTTATGAGAGATACAAAGGATAGAGGCACACTTAATTTCACCAGGAGGGAAGAAACAAATCTAGAATGCATGACATTCTACAAACCAGCTTTCCTTAATGTTTCAAAAAGTCTGTTCAAGGGGTGCCTGGGTGGCTCAGTCGGTTAAGTGTCTGACTTCGGCTCAGGTCATGGTCTCGTGATTTGTGAGTTTGGCCCTGTGTTGACAGCTCAGAGCCTGGAGCCTGCTTTGGATTCTGTGTCTCCCTCCGCCCCTTCCCTGCTCATGCACTGTCTCTCTCTCTCTCAAAAATAAATGTTAAGAATTTAAGTCTGTTCAAGATTAAAATCTAGAGACATGATAACCAAACTCAATGCACGAATACAGACAAGAGGCTCGTTAGGAAACACAAAGCAGGAGGGTAGCTTAGGAGTACTGGGACATACAAAATGAATATAAAAGAATATTACAGAATTATTGATAATTTTCTTGTATGATCATAGCATTAAAGACCATACTTAGTCTTTTAAAAAAAAATTTTTTTTTTGAGAGGGAGCACGAGCAGGGGAGGGGCAGAGGAAAAGGAAGAAAATCTTAAAACAGGTTCCACAGCCAGCACGGAGCCCGACACAGGGCTCGATCCCACAACCATGAGATCATGACCTGAGCCAAAATCAAGAGTTGGGCACTTAACTGACTAGCCACCCAGGTACCCCAAGACTGTTCTTATTCTTAAAAGATGCATGCTAATATGTCCAGGAACAAAGTATCATGATTTCTACATCATAAGTCAAATGACACGAGTATAGATACACATACGTATGTATAAATTCAGAAAGAAAACAAATATGACCAAATGCTAACAATTATTGATTCTAAACAGAATATATGGATATTCATTATACTGTTCTTTAAATTTTTCTGAGTGTCTGAAATTTGCCATAATATTTGTGGAAAGAATTCCTAAATAGACAATTTTTTGTTTCTTTTTAATGTGTGATTTATCTTGACATGTGAGCAGAGAATTTTAATTACTGGCTACCTGTTGGAATTCATTACAGGCAAAGTACTTTACACCCCTCCCTGCTCTTCAAGAGGTACATTCCCAACACATTAACACTTTCTAAATCCACATTTCTTTTCAGCCTTCATCTTTTATGAAGCTTAAGGGGTAAACTGAATAAAAACCCTCTTGAGGTTTGTTTTTTCTAGATTTTATCCATAATAAACTATCTGAAATTCAAGTGGATGAGTGGTTATGGAAGCTTTTCTAAATTCATTACACCAATGAGCATTCTCTTCATAAGAATTCACTAGTAGTAATAGTAATGATGAGGATAGTAAGAATAACAGCAGGGGCACCAAAGTGGCTCAGTCGGTTAAGCATCTGACTTTAGCTCAGGTCATGATCTCGCAGTCCATGGGTTCGAGCCCCACATCGGGCTCTGTGCTGACAGCTCCGGGCCTGAAGCCTGCTTCTAGTTCCGTGTCTCCCTCTCTCCCTGACCCTCCCCTGCTTACACTCTCTCTCAAAAATAAACAATTAAAAATTTAAAAATAAAAAAGAACAGCAGCAAATTTGTATTGAGCATATGCCACATACCAGATATTCTTCCAAGGATCAGATGCATACTAAATCCACCCAATCTCTGCAACAGGACTTAGTTACCATCACCAGCATTTTAAAGGTGATGCCGAGGGAAGCAAAATTTTGCCCAACATCCCGCAGGTAGTAAGGAAGTGGAATTGTGAGGACAGTAAGTATGGTTTGTGCCATGAGGGATTTTCTGCATTAGTAAGATTATTCTCTAGAAGGAATTCGCTTAAGTTTTAAAAAGATTGGATAGGGCACCTGGATGGCTTAGTCAGTTAAGTGCAGACTTCGGCTCAGGTCATGATCTCATGGTTCGTGAGTTCGAGCCCCATGTTGGCCATACTGACAGCTTAGAGCCTGGAGCCTCCTTTGGATTTTCTCTCGCTCACTCTCAAAAATGAAATAAACTTTAAAAAAGACTGGATAGTGTTGGAACATTTCTATACCTTCATTAAATGAACACATCTGTTATAAATTCTGTGTGCTTTTTATAAGCACAAGGAAGTTGTGACTCATGGTAACCAAATCTTCCTACAGTGTGAATATTCTGCTATTCTAATCAGAGAGGAGGCAAGTGAGGAGTTTCTTACTCTAACTAAATCGTATTGTGGCTAGTCTCATGTTTTTAAAACTGTGAATGCTGTCTCTCACATTATTTCTGGGGAAGGGCAAACTTCTTAATTTCTAATCATTCATGAACTGATTGATACTTTTATAAAATAAAATGATAATTGTATGGCAATGTCAGATTGCTATAAAAGTTTCCAAACATTTACTCCTGCTTTCTGCATTCATCTCATGACAGACAGGTGACAATTTTGTGGCCTGGCACTAGTCTCTAGACAAATTTCAGTAGCACTTATCTAAGGGCCTTCCTACAACCCAATTTAAAGGGTTTCTCATTTGGATGGATTCTATGATGTACTCTGAGATATTTATCATATCTCTAAGCCTTCCCATATTCCTTATATTCAAAATATTTCACAACAGTATGAGTTCTCTAATATGCAAAGCAAAAACTGCATTAAGTTTAGGTTCTTCCTACATTCCTTGAAGTGTTTCTCATGAGTATGAATCTCCAATGTTTACCTGATTATGCCATGAATAAAGATCTTCACACGTTCCTTACATTTGAGTGGTTTCACATCAGCATAAACTGATGTTTGATAAGACTATACAAAATCCTCAAGTCCTTTTCATATTCCTTATATTCAAAGCATTTCTCACTAGTATGAATTTTCTGATATATCAAGTAAACTGTTCACACACAGGTAAGGCTTTTACATTCCCTACATTTATAAGCTTTCTCAAGAGTAAGATTCTCCTCATATTAAGTTGTTCATACACATAAAAAATGTGTTCACATCTCTTCAATCATAAAGTTTCATTAGTATCAACTGTCTCATTTGAGTAAGTTGTCCACATAAAGGCTTTCTTACATTCTTTATATTCATAAGGTTTATCACTACTATGAGTTCGCTCATGTCGAACAAGGTTTGAGCCATGAACAAAGGTCTTCCCAAATTCCTTACATGGATAAGGCTTCTCACCAGTATGAAATCTCTGATGAACAGTAAGTTGATAGCCATTACCAAAGGTTTTCCCACATTCCTTACATTCATAGGACTTCTCACTAGTATGGATTCTCTCATGTTTAACAAGGCTTGAACCCCAACTAAAGGCCTTCCCACATTCCTTACACTTAAAAGGTTTCTCGCCAGTATGGATTTTCTGATGTTGTGTGAGGTGATAGCCACGACTGAAGGCCTTCCCACATTCTTTACATTCATAAGGTTTCTCGCCAGTATGGATTCTCTCATGTTGAACAAGACTTGAGCCACAATTAAAGGTCTTCCCACATTCCTTACATTTGTAGGGTTTCTCACCAGTATGAAATACCTGATGTCGAGTAAGTTGATAGCTGCTACTGAAGGCCTTCCCACATTCTTTACATTCATAGGACTTCTCACCAGTATGGATTCTCTCATGTTTAACAAGGCTTGAACCCCAACTAAAAGCCTTCCCACATTCCTTACATCCAAAAGGTTTCTCGCCAGTATGGATTTTCTGATGTTGTGTGAGGTGATAGCCACGACTGAAGGCCTTCCCACATTCTTTACATTCATAAGGTTTCTCGCCAGTATGGATTCTCTCATGTTGAATAAGACTTGAGCCACAATTAAAGGTCTTCCCACATTCCTTACATTCATAGGGTTTCTTACCAGTATGAAATACCTGATGTCGAGTAAGTTGATAGCCCCAACAAAAAGCCTTTCCACATATTTTACATTCATAAGGCTTCTTACCAGTATGAATTTTCTGATGCTGAGTAAGTTGATAACCACGACTGAAGGCCTTCCCACATTCTTTACATTTATAAGGTTTCTCACCTGTATGAATTATCTCATGTTTAGCAAGGCTTGAGCCCCAAAAAAAGGCTTTTCCACATTCCTTACATTTGTACGATTTCACACCAATATGGATTTTCTGATGTTGAGTGAGGTGATAGCCACGACTGAAAGCCTTCCCACATTCTTTACATTCATAAGGTTTCTCACCAGTATGGATTCTTTCATGTTTAACAAGACTAGATCCCCAACTAAAGGTCTTCCCACACTCCTTACATTTGTAGGGTTTCTCACCAGTATGAAATCTGTGATGCACAGTGAGTTGATAGGCACTAAAAAAGTCCTTCCCACATTCACTACATTCAAAGCGTTTTCCAGTCGTATGAGTTCTCTCATGTTGAACAAGTTTTGAGCCATGACTACAAGCCTTCCCACATTCCTTACAAATATAGCGTTTCTCTCTATTATGAATTCTTGGATGTGCACTAAAAGATCTACTTTTTCTGTAAGTGGGCATTTTTTCATAGCTAATTATCATTTGGCTAAAGTATTGATGTCCCTGTAGTCCCCCCAATTTGCTTTTGTGCTTAGAATTATTTTTGAAAATGGATGCCTCAAGGCCCAGAGTTTTACTTCTTTCCATCCTCTCCCATTGGGAAAAATGTATTTCAAAAATGTCTTTTTCTGAAATTTTATTTTCAGTCGCATATGTTGACTCCAAATCTGAAAGAAAACAAGAAAATCACATACTTTACCATACAAAAAAATTTAAGAAACCCTCCAGAGTAGAAATACAAGGCAAATTAGAAATACTACCCATAAAAGCACTGGGTTAGAAAACCTCCTGAGCTCACTCCTAAGCATCCAGTCTCTACTCTGCTGGAACTACAACCTCAGTTTTGACTTTTCAGCTCTTATGATCTTAATGTTCTGATCTGACAGTTTTCTGGAGGATTCCACAAAGAACACTATAACAAGTTCCATATCTCCCTGTGTGGATGATCCCTTAAACAAAATGCCTTTCCATCAAGCAAGCCCTTATGTGCACAGGTGGGGTTCAGATGAACTTTTTCAAACTGTGTAGGCTGACATGATGAACTCGAATCTTCAAAACCAAGAACACCTGAAACTGATATTGTATGTCAACTACACTAACAAAACAAAACAAAATGGGGGGGGGAACCAAACCACAACAAACCATTAAGCTAGATAATACTCCATACGAATTTTTCTGATTGGTTTTGAGCTAAAAGCAGACAAATCTACTAAGTTCCAAGGCTCTACTGGAGTTGAAATATGTGAAACAAAACCTAAACTGTTAATAGAACCTCCACTTAGCTCAAATCCTGATACAATCAAAGAGATAAGCACATCAGTGGTCATTCATGAAAGCTATGATCCAGTCCCAACTCAGCTGCAAGCCTGGTGGGATCTGAGTTATCAGACCCTGCCTCTAAATAGCTGACTGAGAAACGGGCATACAGTTTTAGGCGGAGGGAACTATCTATTACTGCTCTTCAAAATGTCTGGCACACAATGAAAAATTAGGCTGTAGTTGAGGAACAGGGAAAGTGTGACCTAAAATCACTCCCCCCCCCAGCTCACCCCCAAAACCCACAAAAGAGACAAAGAACAGAAAACACAGATATTAGAATCAGCAGGCAAGGCCATTCAACTATATTTTGCAGATTCTGGAAGAAAATATACAGAACAGATGGGAAATTTCAGCAAAGAAACAAACTCTAAAATTGTAAAAGGGAAATTCTGTAACTAAAAAAACCCAAACTGAAGCACAAGGAGAAAAAGGATGGGGGGGGGGGGGAAGAGAGTTAGATCTGTGCGACAATATTAAACAATCCAACTTCAGACAACAGCAGTTCCATAAAAAGGATAGAGCCAAATAAGTACTTTATTATTAATTAAATATTCTTAAAATGTATGAACAAGCAATCTACTTTTAGCAAACTGCAAGCAGGATAAATACAAAGAACAGCAACAACTGGCAACATCATATTCAAACCGGTGAAAACTGAAAATAAAGGAAAAGAGTAAAAGGAGGCAAAGGGGGAACCTTAAAGTTAGAGAACAACTTTAAGAAGCATGGCTGACTTCACAACCCTAACAATGGGAGCTACAAGACAATGGAATGATATCTTCAATGGCTGAAAGAAAGCTTTCAACCTAGAGTTTTATATAAAACACAAAGTAGTCTTTAAAATGAAGATGAGAGATTTCCAGGCCCAGCCTTGAAGAAAAATCTGGTATTAGACTTACTCTCATGCTATAAACAGCTATAAAGCTATAAAACAGTATACTAGACACAGGGCTGCAAAAACTTTTAGAGAAGATTATCAGGAGAACTTCACATTCACCCTCTCTGCCTGGCTGTGTCCTCCAAAACAAGGTTCAGGAAAATGAAGTCCAACTATAGAGCAGTGGCTTCACTGGGCAAAGGATACTGGTATCTGAGTTCAGGGCTACTAAGGAAGCTGGAATTTGTAGCTCAAGGTTTATTAAGTAAAGAAGTAATGCAATGCAGTCCCAGAAATCTATGCAGGGATTCCCCACTTGGATCTGTAACTAAATATTAGTTTATGCATCCATACAGTGACTGTCCACAAGGCAGCCAGAGTACCAACCCAGACTGAGTGGAAAGAGGCGTTCATCTGAGGCTTCACAAAGACCATATATGGAAAGACTCATCATCTTGTGGAGCAGTCCTCAAACTCATTGGTCTCAGAATCCCTATACTCTTAATTACTGGTGAATTCTTTGCTTGCTCAAGCATAAGTGTATTTGCAATACAAAATATACAAAGTTGGTATTTTTGTCTAATGGTGATTTTATAACATTTTAGGTGACTTATTAAAGGGTAGAGGAGTACTGTGGATATGTCTGTGGTAAGTCATTTTAATCATGCATAAGTGGTCATAGATGAACTGTAGTAACTATTGCTGCTTTATTTAATGATGTTTTATTTCTTTGTATACACGAACATTTGGGTAAAAGGACTGTGTGTATATCCAAAAGGAAGTCAGAGTATCTAAAGTGACCAACCTACCTTACAACTACCATGAGATGGCCAAGTATATACTAAATGCAGTGCACTTTTGTATAGCTTAACATCAATAAATAGTTCAGTAAACTTGAATTTAGTTCAACCAATCTGAACTGCCATGCAAGAGCTTACATTACAATTACTTGGTAAGGAAGGCTTAACAATATTAGTAAATGAAAATAGATTTAAGGGAGCCTGAGTGGCTCAGTTTTTGGACAGCTGACTTCAGCTCAGGTCATGATCTCATGGTTCTTGAGTTCGAGCCCCACATCCAGCTCAGAGCCTGGAGCCTGTTTTGGATTCTGTGCCTCTCCCCTGCTCGTGCTGTCTCTCCAAAAATAAACAAACATTAAAAAAAAAATTTTTTTTAACCAAAAGAGATTTAACTACTTTTTAAATGTTAAAAAAAAATTGGGGCACCTGGGTGGTTCAGTCGGCTAAGCATCTGACTTCTGCTCAGGTCATGATCTCAATGTTTGGGAGTTTGAGTTCTGCATCAGGCAAGCACGACCCCCACTTTAGGCACTGTGCTGACAGTGCATGGCCTGCGTGGGATTCTCCCTCTCTCCCCCTCTCTCTCTGCCCCTCACTCACTTGCTGCCTCTCTCTCTCAAAAAAAATAAAATAAAAACACTTAATAAAGAATCATTGTCTGTAAGCACAATAACAAATTTATGAAAATTATATTTTCTGAAACAAAAAGTAAGTATTATCTTAATATTTGGTGGTTCTCTTCAATATATGGCTTAAAAGAAGTCAAGTGGATTCTCTTATCTGCTTCTACATTCACTCTATGGCAATATGCTATTGTGATTGAAGTATATGAGGAAAATCTAGCCTCCCACATATACATAGCTGTTATTCTTTGATACTATAGGTAAGTTACTATTTGATATTACAGTAAAACTTGAAAAAGCATAGTTTCATAAAGGATAGTTGCAATGTGGAATATGCAAATATATCCATGAACTTTTCGTATTATGTTACCTTAAAATCCACTGCATTTTGGATGATCTTTTATCCAGGCCTAATTTTATTTTTTTTTAATTTTTTAATTTTTTATTTATTTCTAGGAGAGAGAGACAGCGTGAGCAGGGGAGGGTCAGAGAGAGAGGGAGTCACAGACTGAAACAGGCTCCAGGCTCTGAGCTGGCAGTCAGCACAGAGCCCGACGCGGGGCTCGAACCCACGAACCACGAGATCATGACCTAAGCGAAAGTCGGACGCTTAACCGACTAAGCCACCCAGGCGCCCCAATCCAGGCCTAATTTTAAAATATCATGCGCTGGTCATGTGAAAAATGGTGGTTCATGGAGTTATGCAGATCTTCGAAACGTTCACTTATTTCATTAGATAATATTTTAAAAATCATATGTTAATATATCCATCTATCTCATCCCAGAAAAATGTTTATGTATTGGGAAGTTGTAAAAGCTCAAAATGGTAGATATAAGTTTCACACAATTCTAATTTTTACTTGAAAGTCTGAATTCTATCACTGGCAAAAATACTGTTATTTGTCTTTAAAGTGGTGGGCTCACTTATAAGAAAAGTTTTCCAACTACCTAATTCTAAATAATAATAGTTCGTCTATTAGGCATTCTTTCAAAAACAAAGCGGTGTCCCATGAAAATAACAGCCGGTTTAATTCACAATTCAAATACCTGCACAAGTGGTTTTCCCCAAGGTACCCATCATACTTGGGTATGCAGCAGAAGAGTAATGAATACTTAATGAATTTCACCACAAAGAAGATTTTTTAAATGCACATTCAAGGGTCGAGAATACAGGCTCATGAGCCAGACTTCTTTGCAGGGTCAGTGGCTGCAACTTCCTCCCACTGGCTGTGTGACCCTGGGAAGTCACTTTCACTGTCTGTTATCTCTGTATTCTCATCTATAAAAAGGGGATGAAAACAATACCTGCCCTCGTGAAAGTTAATTAGGCTAATGTATTTGCTCTGCTTAGAACAGAGCCTGGTTTGGGGCGCCTGGGCGGCTCAGTCTGTTGAGCATCTGACTCTTGATTTTGGCTCAGGTCATGATCTCACAGTTTGTGCGATTGAGCCCTAAGTCAGGCTCTGCACTGACAGCATGGAGCCTGCTTGGTATTCTCTCTCTCTCTCTCTCTCTCTCTCTCTCTCTCTGGCCCTCCCCAGTTCTCTACATGGACACATGCTCTCTCTCTCTCAAGATAAGTAAATTTAAAAATGAGAAAACAACACAGCCTGGCTTGTAGTTAGCACAGCGTTGTTAATATTGTCACTGTTACCATTTTGCTAACAGGAAAAGAAGTTTCAGGAGACATCTTTAGGATTTAATTCAGTGTGGAGTTTAACTTTGTAAAAACCAAGGTTCACGTGCTGAAAGTAAAGGAATGTGCTCACTTAGAATGAAATGAATTGTTTATTCAGTCCTCCACTACATCAAGTGGAGAGGCTCTTCTGAAAGTCAGAGTACATCAGGCCCGTTTCTAGCTGTACTCTTTGCATGTGGGTCAAAAACTAACAGGGCAGTGCTCCTTTAATGTGTATAAAAATCACCCAGGGATCTTGTATAAATGTAGACTCTGTTCTGCATGTCTGGAATAGGACATGACAACTGTTCTTTCTTTTTTTTTTTTTTAATTTTTTTTAATGTTTTATTTATTTCTGAGAGAGAGACAGTGTGAGCAGGGGAGGGTCAGAGAGAGAAGGAAACACAGAATCTGAAGCAGGTTCCAGGCTCTGAGCAAGCTGTCAGCACAGAGCCCGACGCGAGGCTTGAACCCACAAACTGTGAGATCATGGCCTGAGCCGAAATCGGACACTTAACTGACTGAGCCACCCAGGTGCCCCTGTTATTTCTTTTTTAATATTTTATTCATTCATTAATTCACTCACTTATATATACAAGTGACGAATCACTAAATTCTACTCCTGAAACCAATATGACACTGTATGTTAACTAACTAGAACTTAAACAGTAACTTGAAAAAGAAAAAAAAAAAAGACAAGCTGGTAGAAAAAGCTGATGTGTGTAATATTTAACAATAAAAAAGCTAAAACCGGGGTACCTGGGTAGCTCAGTTGGTTGAGCAGCCGACTCTTGATTTCAGCTCAGTGAGATCAAGCCCTGCATCTCAAGCCCCTACTTGGGATTCTCCCTCTCCCTCTCTCTGCCCCTCCCCTGCTCGCTCACACACTCTCGCTCTTTCAAAAATAAATAAATAAACATAAAAAAAAAAAGCTAAAGCCTCACTAAGCCAAATAAAGGCTTCTAATCACTAAGAGAATCCACATTCCTCCCCCAAACCAACAAAACTGCCTGTCATCTGGGCCCTGCCTGTCTCCTTTACTAACTTCTTGGTATCTTCTCCCTCACTAACTCTGCTCCAGTCTTCCCACAGGTCCTCAAACATTAACAATCACACTCTGAGCAGCAAGCACACAGGTAATGTGTATGCACACTGAAGTTAAACCTGGTTTTTGTGACAATGGTTATGAACTGAATGCCCCATAATGCAAATCCAGCTCCTTGTAAAGAAGAAAGGCCACTGCAGGAAAAGTCAGAGGAAGAAGGTGTGTAGGTATGGGACAATCAAGGAGACTGCTGAAGCCATTTCTAATCCAACAAACATCAAGTCATCCCTAAGAGGGAGAAGAAATTGACCTGGTTTCTTCAAAGACGGTCCTATAATTCCCACAGAGAAAGCCAATAGTGCAAAAAAAAAAAAAAAAAAAAAAAGGTTCTAAAGTATTTCAGGCAGATGACCTTACCCAAGGAGACCAAGTTACTATAGTTCTCCAACATCACATCCACGTACAAGTCCCTCTGAGCAGGGTCCAGGCACTCCCACTCCTCCTGAGAGAAGTCGATGGCCACATCCCTGAAAGTCACCAAGCCCTAAAACCAAAAACCCATACATTACTTGTGAAATTAAAGAACTTTAAGAATTTAAGAAAATATTTCCAAGAGGGAGAAAAAGGATTATGAAGGATAAACTGCAAGAAGAGGAAAATGTGTAACAATCAAGTAGGCTGGAGGCCTGTGATACATAGAGAAAAGTAAAGAAATTAGTACGACTAAAGCAGAGCGTCTACATGTTCTAGAAGAATCCTGTTACAGCAGAAAAAACTTCTTGGATATTGTGAGATAACCAAGCCATCCAGACTTGTCTGGTAATATATAAAATAATCCCAGTTTCTCTTCTATTAAATAAAAGTGGGAGGGGGGCTGTTTTATGAGTATATAAACATACACACAACCTGCTATGTGCCTGCCTCATAAATTCTTTCCATAAACTGCTACAACATCTCTTCCCTTTAAGGCTTTAAGGAATAGAAAACACAAATAAGAAAACTGTTTTTCCCAAATGCACTATAAAATCTCTACTTCAGAAAAATGATTTCCAGTAAATTGAAGATTATCATTAAGCTTCAAGTAAACCATTCCATTAGATTACAACATAAGCATTTTTTCTTACACATCTTAGGAATACATAAGATGTTTTTATTAGCTGCATTCAGTTCATCATATAGAGAAATGAGATTAATATCTCCGTTATATTTATACATTTAGGGTGAACAAAACTTCTGAAGACTTTAATTCTAGAAATCTGCTATCATCCAGTATTTAGAAATCTCAATCACCTTCTTACTTGTTACCATCAACCACCTCTCACCTGACACCCTCTTCGATCCTGAGTAGGAGGACACCAAGAGAGCACACCATATATGACACGGATGAATGACACACCAAGATCTGTGCATCCTTGTCAACAACCAAATGAACGGTGACACTGGTGTTCATCGATTAGGGAACCACACTTTCCCTGGAAAGGCCCACTCACAAGCCCCCACAACCAAAAGGCCTTGCAAAGCCTCACAGAGACTGAGGCTGAAACCAACAAGTTCCAAATTCCATCTTCTCTCTCTGGGAAGCTCAGGTCCATGAAGAAGGTCCAAGTTTGCTTGCGTGATCAAATGGGACCCTCATCCCTGACTCGTCACATCACAGACCTGAGATGGGAATGAGGAATTCTGATAAGGGAGATGGCGCAGCCCTAGTGGAAGAGACAGAGGCGGTAACAAAGGGCACTACCCGACACAGCCTGCCATACTGTCCTAGGTAAGCACCAAAGCTCTTCCAGAGAAGGCACAAGCAACTGAAATTGTTCCTGGGTGACCATCCAGCTGTCTAAGAGCACTGTATCGTGACTGGCTTCTTTCCCAGATGCCTGCCAATCAGCACCTTAACCTGAAAAAGGAATAACTGTTGTTTTCAAAATGTCTACAGTCTTCATTCTCTCTTTTTTTCCTTCCCTTATAAGTAAATTGTTGGTGCTTTGATATGTGAAATCAGTCTACTGCTGATTTCCCTTGTATGCAAGTGAAAGTGTGCTAATTGTTAACTACATTTCTTCGAGTTATTCCCTGACAGAAGCTCAAGTATTTCTCTCCAAAGATTCAATCCCTTCACTGCTCTTGATTGAAGACCGAGCACACAGGTGATGGATGGATAACGTGTTCAATGAATATGACGACACTGACTGGCAAGGGCACTGGAAAGGCACATAGGAAGGACATTAGGCTCTCTGTCACCTTTACTGGAACAGGAGGAACTGAGAGGCAGGTTCAGGAGTGGGGTTCTGTTATGCAGAAAGCATTCGGATAATTAAGGAAAAGATTCATATGACCTAAAAACCACAATATTTCAAGGAGAGAGAAATACCAACTTACATCAGTCATGGTTCTAGAATTGCAAGAACTAATTAATAATCCATAGGATTCCTCTATTGGTGAAGCACAGAATCCAGAAAAGTCAGAGCTGGGGAGGGGAAAAAAAAAGCTTTAGACCAGGTATGCTTAAGTGATTCCATCCTGACTTAAGCTAACATAAACTTTTACCTCTTCCATTCCTCCTTCTACCCTCCGCACTCCCACACCATCGGTGGAATCTACACTCTCACCTCAAACCTGAAGGTCCCTCAGTGGGAAGGTTTCTGGCAGTGCCTGATACTGGCGATGCTGATATGGGCCTGAGGGTAGACTACTGGTCCTTCCCAGACCAGATCTCCCACCCGCCATTTTGCTACTCGGGGCTGAGAAAGAGCAACATGTCCAAGCCAGAATATCTTTCATGGGCTCGGGGCTGAAGAAGGTTGGTCAAGACACGGGAGTGGACAGGATGTACAACTGCCTGAGCAGTTGACCTCTTAAAAAGCTGACCTCTTAACGCATTCAGAACATCCTTGCATTAGAACACTATGAAACTATGCTAAGTTGGGGAAAATAATAAAGATATATTGTTAATAGAAAAATATAGCTTGCAGGACGTATAGTATGACTATAGATTATATATGTTTAACAATATAGGAAAGACTGACAATCACACGTCCATAGATAAAGGGTTTAGAAAGTTATACATCTATGTACAAAACATGGTTTTCTTTTTATTGTGGTCATAATGTTCTTTTTGTTTAAGTATTCAGCATAATTGCTGTAACCAAGGCCACGCATTATTCTAACTATATGATTTCTACATACACTCCTGTTTCACCTAGAAAAAAATGGCTGAAATTCCCTCAAGAAATGTCAGGGATACATTGATGAGATCTCAATCCTGCTTCTTTTCATGTCTTCTGACACATGGGTTTATTTTGTATCTGAACCTCATGTCTTTTTAGACAGGACACTCTCCCCATAAGTGCTGCACTGGTCCTACTGGTCTCACTTAGCAACTAACATTAGGAGGATACAAAATATAGGGTATAAAACTCATAGGACAAATTCCATTTGCCTCTGCAAAACTAGTCATGACCCAACAGTATTGCCTATAATTACCTTCCTAGAGTTCCTAAGACAGGTTTCCTGAGTTGTTTGTTGGCCTTTGTGGCAGGCGGCCTTACATTCATTCCTATGTAAATTTAGTTTTCCTTGTCTTAAAGGCAACAACCATGTCTTTCAGTTACTGTATAACTACTCAAGTACTATCTCAGGGTCTTAAATTTGGAGCAAATTTGTACCTAAAATTCCCTTATGGAAATGTGTCATTGATTGTTTTCTCGGCCTTTTGGCTGAGATCAAATGGCAATGTATCCTTGAATAGTTAGAGAAGTACAGATGTATACACAAGAATATTCATGAGGTGCCTGGGTGGCTCAGTCAGTTAAGCACCCGACTTAGGCTCAGGTCATGATCTCAAGGTTTGTGGGTTCAAACCCCGCATCAGGCTCTGTGCTAACAGCTCGGAGCCTAGAGCCTACCTCAGTTTCTGTGTCTCCCTCTCTCTCTCCCTACTCCCACTCATGCTCTGTTTCTCTCTGTCTCAATAATAAAGAAACATTAAAAAAAAAAAAAAAAGAATATTCAACCCAAAATCATTTATGATAACCAAGAATTAGAAACCACAGAACAGTAAGCAAAAGGTTTGCTCAACTGGTCTGCTGTGCCCTCATCAGTTTGATGGCATTAGACCATATAAACTGAAGACAGACAGACATAATCAATTTCTTAGTGAGACAGGCATGTGGGAGGTGTATCTGAAATTAAGACAAAGGCTGTGGTGTCAACTTTCAAGATGTGAATCTGGCCTTGACAGTGACCAATTTCTCAACAATTTTATTTCCTTGTCAATAAAAGAATAAAAGAAAGATAGGAACACTGTCTACTACAGATGACTGCACTGGCTTATTGGAGGAGCATAAGGCTCTTGATCTCAGGGTCGTGAATTTGAGCCCCATGTTGAGTGTAGAGATTTCTTAAATTAAAAATAAAAATACTGGGGTGCTTGGGTGGTGTAGCTGACTCAGCGTCTGACTTCAGCTGGGGTCATGATCTCACAGTCCATGAGTTCGAGCTCCTCGCTGGGCTCAGTGCTAACAGCTCAGAGCCTGGAGTCTGCTTTGGATTCTGTGTCTTCCTTTCTCTGCCCCTCCCCTACTTGTGCTCTGTCTCTATCTCAAAAATAAATAAACATTAAAAAAATTTTTTTTAAACACTAGTGTACAATAATTACTTAACCTAAGTTTCAGCTGAAAACCAACTTGACAATAAACTATTTGTTAAAAAAAAAAAAAGAAAAATACATTTGACAAAGGACAATCAGTTATATGGAACAATAAAAGTACTAAGAAAACATTGCAAAAAAAAAAAAAAAAAAAAAAAAAAAAAAAAAAAAAAAAAAAAAAAAAAAAAAAAAAAAAAAAGAAAGAAAGAAAGAAAGAAAGAAAGAAAGAAAATGGAGATTACTGCCCCTGATTCTACTAAACAAGAAAAAAGTTAATGACCTTTTCCATTTTTTCCTCAATAAAATCCATGCTACTCAGGCCTGTTTTCTTACAAGTTTCACAGTCCAGCCCTGAGCCTGCTATTCCTCCTGAGTAACAATATAAGCAAAACACGTTCTCAGAAAGACACAGAGGCACTACCCCTTCCTCCCAAAAGCTGCAGATAGAGACAGGGCTCAGCATCATAAAGCCGGCTCAGAAAATACAACCCAATTAGAAGTCAAGAGGAGAACATTAACCAGAGGTTTGCTCTGGTTCTGTGTATACTGGCGATTTATTTGAATATCCATAATCATAACCTACTTATTCTACCTTCTGTTATTAGTATCTGTCCTTGGAAATGTTATTTGTAAAACAGGTTTTCATAAGACAGAATGTATACAGTGGAAATTACTGCTATTTTCTGTGGAAATAACCTTTAAAATAATCTAATTCTGAAAGTCCCTCTTTGTGGCCCTCGTAATTAATTTTCAAATGGTGTTTTTATATTCCCAAAAGTTCTGAATACTTTGAGTTTCTAAATAAAAAAGAAATCACTAACACTTCCCTCTTCTTTCTACATATTCAAGAGTAAAACAAAATCCACATCTGGGTTGGACTTCTCCATCAAAGTAAAAGCTAGAGAGTCTTCAATTCAATTGTATTACCAATTACTGTTCTTATTCAGCAGAAACAAAACCAGACACACAGATCCACAGGAAAAAAAATTTAAACAGCAACACACCAAAACATTAAGAATGATTAAATCTAGGGGTGCCTGCGTGGCTCAGTCAGTTAAGCATCTGATTTCGAGTCAGGTCATGATCTGATGGTTTCTAAGTTTGGGCCCACATTAGGCTCTGTGCTGACAACTAAGAGCCTGGAGCCTGCTTCAGATTCTGTATCTCCCTATCTTTCAGCCCCTCCCCTGCTCACGCTCTGTCTCTCTCAAAAATGAACAAAATGTTTAAAAAAAAATTTTTTAATGATTAACTCTAGAGGATGTAATTGTAACATCCTTTTCTTTGTTTCCTGGATTGTTGAATTTTTTGCAAAAAAAAAAAAGTGTATTAATTCCATAACCAGAAATATAAAGGTATTTCCAAATGTAAAAAAAAAATGATAGGAAAGGGGCATATTTCCATCATTAAGAAAGCTGAAAAAAACAGACCCGATCCTGAAGATCAGTGGGCCAGAAACAAAGTACACCGCTCAGCTGTTGAGCACACTGGAGCTGGAGCTCACCACTACACTGACACACTTTCACTATCGAGATTCCCAGTAACAAACACACCAATTACGTAAGTCACCTTCAAAGCTAAGGGAAGGAAATATATGCACATTAATAGAACAACATTTGGTACAGAAAAGGTGCTCAGCAAGTATGGCCACACCCCTCCACCTGTTCACTGTAGTCAATTAAAACATTTTGGACACAATCCTTTTTCTTATTAATTTTTTAATGTTTTTATATACTTCTGAGAGAGAGAGAGAGCATGAGCAGGGAAGGGTCAGAGAGTGAGGGAGACACAGAATCTGGAGCAGGCTCCAGGCTCTGAGCTGTCAGCACAGAGTCTGACCGGAGCTCAAACCCACGAACCATGAGATCATGACCTGAGCCAAAGTTGGACGCTTAACCAACTGAGCCACCCAGGCGCCCTGGACACAGTCCTTGAAAAATATCTTTCAAAACTCCTCCTGAATGGGATTCGTATAGAACTCACAATATTCTGGCAGACTTTTGTTCATAACTATAACTATTACTTAATATTTTATTATTTACATTTTTCCTTCTGATTCTTCATGAACATAATTTTTATTAGGTGCACACTGTTTCATTACAGGAGACACTGTTGCCACTATCACTGGACACTGATCTTGTAAAAATCTCCTTCCCAGCTATCAAATCCTAATTGTGGACCAATGGAGCTGGAGCTTTTTTGGGTCATGTACACCCGACAATCTCACGAAATTATAGACATTTTTTTCCACCAAAAAAATACAAATATTTACAAAAACTCGGTCTCAATTTCAAGAGGTATGGGACCATCTGGCAGTTCATAAATGGAACAAGACCTCAGGTTAAGATTACCTGTACTAGGGGCGCCTGGGTGGCTCAGTCGGTTAAACGTCAGACTTCAGCTCAGGTCATGATCTCACGGTTCGTGGGTTCGAGCTCCGCATCGGACTCTGTGCTGACAGCCAGCTCAGAGCCTGGAGCCTGTTTCAGATTCTGTGTCTCCCTCTCTGTCTGACCCTCCCCTGGTCACGCTGTCTCTCCCTCTCAGAAATAAATAAAACATAAAAAAAAAAAAAAGATTTCCCGTACTAGATCATTTGAGCAGCTGGCCACTTTTTGAAACTTGAATAAACTTGAACAGCTAGCTATTGGTTGAGAATAAGGGCAACAGGCGGCGACTGAGATGAGGGATGCATGAGCAGAGTGGGTCATTCACCAGGAAGAACACCCAGGATAGACGCTACTAGTGATATTTCAGGCCAAGAAAGCAAATATGCTCACAATCTAAAAACGAAAGTTAACTGTGTGGAAAAAAAAAAGAAACACAAACTCACCCTGGTCCTTGATTTCAAAATACGCAACAATTCTTCCCTCCTCCTCATGGTCCTTCTTAGAAACTCGCCACAGTAGGGGTAATTTAAAAAAAAAAAAAAAAGACTCATGAGACACCAGCACTTCTTGGAGCACACAGACCTAACGAAAACAAAAAACAAAAAACAAAACGCCGCCTAGAGTATTTACCTTCATCCACACAAAACCCAACGGAGATGAAAAGAAGGCCGGCTGCAATCTATCTCTGAGTTGACAGCAATTGCTGGGGACGAAGGTCTGGCTGTGCACCCCCTTCTAAGAATCGTGCCTCGGGGACCTCTCCATCACGTCCTTCTAGGAGCATGTCACGAGGACACTACAGGAGATACAAACCCATCCCAAGGCCGGCCCTAGGCCTTCTTGCGTGAAACGTTCACTCTAGGGCTTCGGGTGGGACCCCTTTTATTGCGGACATTGAACTTTGGCAGGCCCAGAGAAAGTCTAGAGGGAACCTAGTGCACGCAGCCAAAGCAAAACCACAAGGCCACGCACCCCCTCACACATTCCCAATCGCATTCCGCATCACAGAGACACACCCCGGCCCTGCCACGCCGTCTGTCACACACCATCCTTCTCAGCCGCTCGCGCACACACAGGCCGGAGGCTCCGAACGCGACACACCCGGGCCTCCTCACCTCGGGCGCCTCCCGGAGTCACCCCTACCCTCGCTGCGAGTTCTGACCCGGCGCTCACTACTTCCTCCGACGCGAGCAACTCCCTGCGAGGAGCCCGAGAATCTTCAGGACGCCGGAAACGGCCCCACAGACTTATGGGAAATAAGAGACGGAAAGTCCTCGGAGGGCGAGAACCAGGCGGTCCTAGGAGCTCTCCGCAGGCAAACTCACACCGCCCGGAAAAAGACCTGCGCCCGGCGACTTCTGGGAAATGTAGTCCGCGGCGGGCAAATCCTCAGAAGCTGGGATCTAGGAACTTAAGAATGCTCCCAGCATGCAACTCGGCTACGCCTAGCAAAGGCGCTGTATCCAAAGTCAACCCGAACCTCTAGTTTGTGGTGCAGGAGATAGGTCCCGGCTTGGCGAACATCATATCTCAATAATCTTTGCTGTGACTGAGGGCGAATTAAATGGTTTTCAAAGACGGCTGAGGAATGCATTCTGAGAATGCTAGAGATGGGAAGGGGAGCGTTTGGCAGAGAGGGGCGGGGTGGACGGGACCAGAGACTTACGCTTCAACGAGCAGCAACATCGCAAGTAAGGTCCTTGAAAATAACCCTGAGCGAGGCTACGGGCTTACATAGTTTACAGGAGAGTCGAGTAGGGTCTGGCGGGTTGAACAAATGGGTACGTCTTGCTCTGGGTGAGTTTGTGGGTCCAATTCAGTGACTAGGACCTTTTGTGAAGTTGTTTATATTCATGGGATACTTTCTGCTGGTGTGAATCTTTATTTACGTGTAAGATGGTTTCTGTTAGAGATTATATACCACCTTTGAAAAGCAACAATACGTGGTCGTGAATTGATATTGTGATCATGTGCATAGGTTTCTGTAGGACTAAGAGATGAGCTCTGTGACACTGTGTGTTCATATCAGTAACCGAGGATAATTTAGATTTTTTAAAATAGGCTTTTCTTTTGCATACTATGGTGATTATGGTGGATGACTGTCCAGCTGAGATCGAAAAACAGTGCAGTGTTGGCTGGCTTAGTATGTGTTAGTTTGATTACCTGACTGCCAATCACTATATGTGCCTGGAAAATTGTAACTGTTAGGATAGTGAGTTTCATTCTTTCCACAGTTTCATTATCTATACAATAGAGTAGTACTATTAAATCTTCTTGGGGGGCGCCTGGGTGGCTCAGTAGGTTAAGCGTCTGACTTGGGCTCAGGTCATGTTCTCACAGTTCGTGGGTTGGAGCCCCACGTCGGGTTCTATGCTGACAGCTCAGAGCCTGGAGCCTGCTTCAGATTCTGTGTCTCCCTCACTCTCTGACCCTCCCCTGTTCACGCTGTCTCTCTCTCTCTCTCTCTCTCTCTGTCAAAAATAAATAAAACATTAAAAAATTTTTTTTAAGTCTTGGAGCATCAAACTTAAGATGCAGAAAAAATATTTACAATTTATGCACCAAATAATTTAGATATTATATAATGAATCAATGGTGTTTTATGGGAAAGACTGCAAAGTGGCATAACTTTATTTTTAAAATTTTTAATAGTTTATTAACTATTTAATAGAAATAGAAATAAAAGAGTTTATAACTCTTTAAAAGAAAGAAGAGGGGCGCCTGGGTGGCTTAGTCGGTTAAGCGTCCGACTTTCGCTTGGGTCATGATCTCACGGTCCGTGGGTTCGAGCCCTGCGTCGGGCTCTGTGCTGACAGCCAGCTCAGAGCCTGGAGCCTGTTTCAGTCTGTGACTCCCTCTGTCTCTGACCCTCCCCTGCTCACGCTCTCTCTCTCTCTCTCCCTCCTAGAAATAAATTAAAAAAAAAAACATTTAAAAAAAAGAAAGAAAGAAGAAATCTGGGGTGCCTGGGTGGCTCAGTCGGTTAAGCTTCTGACTTCAGCTTCTGTCATGATCTTGCAGCCCATGAGTTCAAGCCTGGAGTCGGGCTCTGTGCTGACACTCAGAGCCTGGAGGCTACTTCCAACTCTGTGTCTCCCCCACCCTCTCTCTGCCCCTCCCCTACTTGCTCTCTGTTCCCCTCTCTCAAAAATAAAACATTTAAAAAATTTTTTTAAAGAAAGAAGAAATCAAAGTAACATCCAGTTATAGAGAGGCTGCTGTAGGTTTCCATCCTTCTGTGATGTTAAGGGTACTTAACCAGATAACTTTGAAAGGCCTAGACTAAGGAAATAACTTCCTGTTTGTGGAGGCAGGTATATTAGAACAGAGCCCAGAATTAGGGAATCAGATATACTAGCTTATAGGTCATGCAAGGCAAGGAACCTGTTTGAGACTACATAATTAGTCCATCAGAACACTACTTGTCTTATTTCAAAAAATGGTAATTACATTTTGTTGTATTCTGAGTATACAAAAAACCAGGCTACCACTTCCTAAACAGTGCCTGATTCCTCTATTGCAGTTGATAATGTTGAACCCAAATATTTGTACTTCTTCAGACATTTTTGACACTTCAGATCTCAAATAGTAGATAAAAAAGATAAAGAGCTAATGGTTATAGTATTAAGGAAGAAGATAAAATTCCTCTTCTAACACAAATTCAGAACTCCTAAATGTTCCTGGGGAGAAAAAAAATTTTTTTCTGAACTTTTTTGTTGTTGTTTCTCTTCCAAAAGTCTGTCTTTTGCTTCCTCCCTAAGTGGCTAGATCACAGCTGAAAATTCTTAAAATGCTTTCCCTGTCATCAAACACAGTAGCATTGCTGTCACTAATATTACTGCAGTAACAAATCTGGAAATGAAACATACCCATCAAAAGTAGGATGAACAATTAGTACCTTTACACTGGAATAGTACACAGCAGTGAAAGTTACTGAATCTAACGTATGATGAGCACTGAGCCATAGAAATATACATGCAGTATGTTTCATTCATAAAATCTTTAAAAGGAAGCAAAATAAATGTTATTTTGTGCTTAAGTGGAAGATAATGGAAAACAAGGGTATGGTGAATAAAATTCAGGAATGTGGTAAGTTCAGAGGGGAGGAAAGATGAAAAGATAATTTCCAAAGGGATTCATAACTATGTCATGGCCCCATTGGCTGCCCTGAAAAGCTTTGTTTGCGTTGTTCTGGTGACCGGCTCCACCACCTCCAACGCATGCCTCCTCCATGATGGTCCACCAACTCTTGCTTGCTTTTTAATCAGCTGCATGGGGTCACCAGCATGCCCCGTCATTTCAGACACTGCAGTGGACACCAGCTCTGATATCACAATCAGGGACTTACAGGAGAAGAAGGAGATTGAGGAGGAGGTGAAGGGAAGAGCTGCCCCTACTAATGGGAACACTGATGAGGAAAATCGGAAGCAGGAGGCCGACAATGAGGTAGATGAGGAAGACAAAGAAGAGGGAGAGGATGGAGAGGAAGATGATGAGGCTGAGGCAGCTGCGGGCACACGGGCAGCTGAAGATGATGAGGATGACAATATCAACACCAAGAAGCAGAACACCAATGAGGATGACTAGACAGCAAAAAAGGAAAAGTTAAACTTAACGACAAAAAAGGCCACCATGACCTACTCACCCCCCATTTCCAGTCTCAAAATGTAAACATGGTCACTGCTGAGTGAAGAGTCCTGTCCACCCCACGTGGGCAGCGCCACCCACAGATGACTTGCTCTGCCAGCCACCCAGAACCACAATGGGAATCTGCAACAGAGAAGGAAAAATGAATCAAAACTTCCCTGGCGCCTGAGAGGCTCAGTGGGTTAAGCTTCCCGGTCTTGATTTGGGTTCAGGTCATGATCTTACAGTTGGTGAGATCCAGTCCCACCCCTGCTTGGTATTCTCTCTCTCTCCCTCTCTCTCTGCCCCTCCTCCATGCACACTGTCTGTCTGTTTCTCAAAATAAATAAATTTTAAAAAATTTAATGAAAAAAGCCAAGTATAAAAGATTTCTTTCCCTCCTTTTTTTGTCTATGAAGTTGCTGTTTATTTATTTGTCCTCTTTGATGTATGTGTGAAACAATGTTTTCCAACAATAAACTGGAATTTTATTTTGCTGAGTTGTTCCAACTAAAAATGAAACAAAACACAGTTATTTTATGTATTAACATTTAAAAAAATTTTTTTGTATGTTTTATTTATTTCTGAGAGAGAGAGAGAGAGAGACAGCGTGAGCAGGGGAGGGTCAGAGAGAAAGGGAGATACAGAATCCGAAACAGGCTCCAGGCTCCGAGCTAGCTGTCAGCACAGAGCCCAATGTGGGGCTCAAACACACGAACCATGAGATCATGACCCGAGCCGAAGTCGGACGTTTAACCAACTGAGCCACCCAGGCGCCCCTATGTATTAAATTTCTTAAACTGCATTATATTACACAATCGTATACTGTTATTTTGATATATTCCTCATTAGTTATAAACATTAATTTATTTGTGATGAAATTTTAAAACTTTTTTGATGTAGGAATTGAACACAACTGTGGGGGGGATATGTACACTAGATTTTCAATATGTTTTATACAAGGGGACTGTGAAAACTTGTAAAGGTATGTACAGAGGAGAAACTAATAGATAATCAGTGTAAAAAGAAATTTCTGTTAAAAGTGTAAAATGCAGGGGCACCTGGGTGCCTCAGTCAGTTAAGTGTCAGACTTTGGCTCAGGTCATGATCTCATGGTTTGTGGGTTCAAGCCCCACGTCGGGCTCTGTGCTGACAGCTCAGAGCTTGGAGCCTGCTTCAGATTCTGTGTCTCCTTCTCTCTCTGCCCCTCACCGCCCCCCTCAAAAATAAACATTAAAAGTTAAAAGAAAAAAACTTTTAAAAACATTAACAATTATTATTACGAGGTAGTAGGCTTTCAGATGTTTTTCACCTTTTATTTTTATGTCCTTCATTTTTTACTTAAAATCTATTTTGTCTGATTCAATTGTGGCCACCCCTGCTTTCTTTTGGTTACCTTTTGCATGGAATGACTTTTTCCATACTTCACTTTCAGCCTATGTGTGTCCTTAAATCTAAAATGACTCTCTTGTAGACAACATATAGTTGGATTACGTTTATACATTCAGCCACCTTGTGTCTTTTGAATTGGGAATTTAATCCATGGATATCTAAAATAATCATTGATAGGGAAGGACTATTCTCATTTTGTTAGTCATTTTCTATATGTCTTATGGCTTTTTAAAAACATTTTTTTTTTATTTTTGAGAGAAGGGCAGAGAGACAGACAGGGAGACACAGAATCTGAAGCAGGCTCCAGGCTCTGAGCTGTCAGCACTGAGCCTGATGCGAGGCTTGAACCCATCAACCATGAGATTATGACCTGAGCCAAAGTTGGATGCCTAACTGACTGAGCCACCCAGGCACTCCTGCCTTATGGCTTTTTTTTTCTTTTCTCCCTCTTTACCTCTTTTGCTCTCTTCCTTTGTGTTTCATTGATTTTTTTTTGTAGTGTCATGATTTGATTCCTTTCAAATTTTCTTTTGTGTATATTCTATAAGTATTTTCTTTGTGGTTACTATGAGGCTTACATGAAACATCTTGTAGTTATAACTATCTGTATTAAGCTGACAACTACCTAATTTCACTTGCAAAGAAATACTCAACGCTTTTACTTTTCTCCCCTCACCTTGTTATTTATGTCATACATTGTGTCTTTTTATATTGTGCATCCATTAACATTTTAATAGTTAAAGCTTTCTTATACTTCTTTTGACTTCTAAACCACACAGTGATTTATGCACTGCCATTCCAGTTTTATAGTATGGTGTATTTGTGTACTTACTGGTGAGCTTTATACTTTTATACACTTTTTTTTTTAGTTTTATTTATTAAGTAATCTCTACACTCAATGTGGGGCTTGAACTCAGGACCCTGAGATCAAGAGTTGCAAGTTTTTTCCAACTCAACTAGGCAGCACCCCTCATATACTATGCATTTTTTAAAGAATAATCTATGCCCAATGTAGAGCTTGAACTCATGACCTGGAGATCAAGAGTCGCATGCTCCACCAGAGCCTAACCAGGAACCTCTCATATTTTATGTTACTCTCATGTTCATATTTTATGAACCTCTCATAGTTTATGTTACTATTTAGCATTCTTTCATTTCAACTTGAAGGACTCTCTTTAGCATTCCTTGTAAGGCAGGTCTAGTGGTGGTAAACCCCATTGGCTTTTGTTTTTCTGGGAAAGTCTGCCTCCTTCATTTTTGAAGGACGGTTTTGCCAGATATATGAGTTCTTGGTTGGCATTTTTTTTTCTTTCAGCATGTTGAATATATTATCCTACTCCCTTCTGGCCTGCAAGGGATCTGCTGAGAGTCTTATGGGGTTTCCCATATATGTGACAAGCTGCTTTTCTCTTGCTGCTTTCAAAATACTCTCTAACTTTTGTTAAGTTGATTATACAGTTGACCCTTAAACAACATGGGTTGTACAGGTCAACTTACAGACAGATTTTTTTAAAATAAATGCAGTACAGTATGTACATGCATTTTCTCTTCCTTATAATTTTCCTAATAACAATTTCTTTTCTCTAGTTTACTTTATTGTAAGAATATAGTATATAATACAGATAACATGCAACATATACGTTAATCAACTGTTTATGTTATCAGTAATCCTCCTGGTCAACAGTAGGCTATTATGCTTAAAGGAAATTCAAAAGTTATATATAGTTTTGTTTTTGTTTTTTTACTGCATGTTGAAAAGATAGGGTCAGTGCCCCTAATTCCCACATTGTTCAAGACTCAACTATAAAGTGACTCAGTGTGGATTTGTTTGGATTCATCCTCGTTGAAGTCCACAGGGCTTCTTGAATCTCATATCTATTTCCTTTCCCCCAACTTGGGAAGTTTTTAGCCAGTATTTCTTTAAATAAGCTTTCTGCCCCCTTCTCTTTCCTTTCTTCTCTGGGACTCCCATAATGCATATATTGGTCTACTTTATGGTATTCCATAAGTCCTTAGGCTTTCTTCACTCTTTTTTCATTTTTCTTTTTATTTCTCTGAATGTATAATTTTAAAGGATCTATCTTTGAATTCATTGATTATTCTCCTTGATCAAGTCAGCTGTTGAACCCTTCTAATAAATTTTTCAGTTCAGTTATTATATTCTTTTGTACTAAAATTTCTTCTTGATCCTTTTTTATAATTTCTCCCTCTTTGTAGATATTCCCATTTTGTTCGTGCATCATTTTCTTGAGCATGTAAAGCATCTTTATGATGGTTATTTTGAATTATTTTTAAGTTAGTCATATAACTGCATTTCTTTAGGACCAGTTTCTGGGGATTGTTTTGCTCCTGTGTTTGGGCCATGCTTATTTCTTTACAACTATGATAACTTTGTGTTAAAATCCATGCATTTCAAAAGACAACCACTTTCCTCAGTCTTTATAGACTGGCTTCATTTAGGAGAAGATCCTTACCAATAATCTCCTTCATGATCTGCCCCAGCCACTTCTCTGATCCCATCTTTTACCATTCTTCATATTACCTAGTATAATTCTTTTTTTTTTTTAAGCTGAAACATTTATATAGTGAGTATTAATTTCCTTACAGAAAACATAGAATTTCTGCCAATTACACAGTATTCTAATAAGACAAAAGATGTATTTGTGTACAAATAATCTGGTTCAATAAAGATGTTCTCTTTGCAGGTCCAAACTCAAGAACAGGCCTAAACTGGCATTTATGGGTAGATTTCCCACTTTACAAGCAAATCTCTTTATTTATGGGAAGAGCTTTAGGGTTTCAGAAAGTCTTTGGCATATATTTCCTGATCCCGGGGGACGGGGGGAGGGGCAGATTTCCCCTGTTGTCCATCAAATGCCATCCACTTGCAACTGCAGGCCATTTTTCTACTCCAGAATTAAATCCATAACAAGTAGACAAGAAAACGACGTAACAAACAGAGCTAAATACATATAAAGACATAATGCATATATAATAATCCCTTGGTAACCATATATGTCCTCCAATCTTATCAAACTATAATTTGCTTACTGTTCCTCAAATAAAATATTCTAACCCCTACCTCTTTACCACTATCTTCCTCCTTCCTTTTTTCTCCCAGTTTCTGTCATCTGGAATTCTATATAAATTTCTATCCAAATACTACCATTTCAAGGATGAGACAAAGTCCCATCTCACCACAAAAGGACAAAGTCTTCCCTGACTACTCCATCCTATGGTAACCTGACCCTCTTTAATCTTTATCAAACATGTGGCTAATACTGTTAATTAGCTTTTCACAAGTTTTTTACTTATCTTGCAATTAGATTGTAAGCTCCTTAAAGGCAGATTCCTATATTCTGTTTTCTGTATTTTCCTTATGCATCTAAATAGTAGATATTCTACATGTCCTAGTTTTGAAAAGTAACATGGTCAATCCAAACATGACTCAACATGTACGTTTAGTGTACTTTATGGATTTTGCTAGAACTATATTCATACACTTTTTGTATAAACATAGATTTTCTGCTAGCCTGATATGTTTTTTGAGTTTTTTATGTATCAGAATTCGTCAGCTTATTCTGTGTCCCAGCCACAAGACTGCAGTTGTTCATCTTATGGGAACTCAACCTCAATGTCATAAAGAATATTTGAATCATCCTTCTAGTTTTTCTCAGAAAGTTCATCTATGATGCTCTTTTTTTTTTTTTAATGTTTAGTTATTTTTCAGAGAGAGAGCATGAGCAGGGGATGGGCAGAGAGATAGGGAGACACAGAATCGGAAGCAGGCTCCAGGCCCTAGGCTGTCAGCACAGATCCCGACATGAGGCTCAGACTTATGAACTACATGATAATGACCTGAGCTGAAGTCAGATGCTTAACCAACTAAGCCACCCAGGCGTCCCCTTTTTCATTTACTTTCTTTACAGAGTTTGCCCTTCAGTAATTCCTGGAAAAGCATTAATAGAATATTTTGAGAATTTGCCTTCCTGAAAATACCTCTATTTTAAATCATCCCTGAGTTTAGTTTGGCAGGCATCTGGGGCACCTGGGTAGCTGAGTCGGTTGAGCATACTTCAACCCAGATCATAATCTCTCAGTTTGTGGGCTCCAGCCCCATGTCAGGCTCTGTGCTGACAGCTCAGAGCCTGGAGCCTGCTTCGGATGCTGTATCTCCCTTTCTCTCTGCCCTTCCACTACTTGTGCTCTGTATCTCTATCTCTAAAAAATAAACATTAAAAAAAATTAGTTTGACAGGTGTTCAATTTGTGTTTGTAAATCATTATCTAAAAAGTTTGACAGCATTATTCCATCACTCCTAGTTTTCAGTGTTGCTCTTTAGAAACATGAGGCCATTTGATTTTCCTCCCTTTGGATATACCTGTTGTTTGCTCTCCAGAATCTTTAGGAAGTTGTTATTTCTCTCCAATACTTTTTTTCTCATCCAAGTTTTTATTTAAATTCCAGTTAATTCACATACAGTGTAATATTAGTTTGAGGTATAGAATTCAGTGATTCGTCACTGATATATAATACCCAGTGTTCGTCACAATAAGTACCCTCCTTAATACCCATCCCCCATTTAACCCATCCCCTAGCCTACTGCCCCCCTAAAGCAAACCATCAATTTGTTCTCTATAGTTAAAAGTCTGTTTTTTGCTTTGCCTCTCTTTCTTTTCCCCCAGTGTTCATTTGTTTTTTTCTCTTAAATTCCACAAAAATTAAATACGTACAGTGGAATATTACTCAGCCATAAAAAAGAATGAAATCTTGCCATTTGCAATGCCATAGATGGAAGTACAGAATATTAGTTTCTCTAATATTTTAAAATTAGATATGGGCTTATTTTGATTCATTTCCCATTAAACAAATAGATCCTTTTAGTCTGTTAATGGATGTGACAAACCATCTTGTAGAATTTCTTTGATACTATCCTTCTCTCTACATTTATAATTCTTTCTCCAAGGCATATCTACTATTCATCCAGGAAAGTTTTCCTGTTTTTCTAATGTTTCCAATGTTCTTTTCCCTTCTTCCAATTTCCTAGAGGTTGCTCCATATTACCTTCCAACTGCTGGGCTGAGTACTTTATCTCTTCTGTCATGGTCCTAATTCCCAAAAGCTCTTTTTAGTCTTCTATCATTCATTTTAATAGCATCCTATCCTTGCCTTGTGCATGCAATAGAATTTCATATCTCATCAACAATATTACTTACAAATTATAGGACTTCATCCTACTTCCTTAATATGCTTTGTTTTTCCCATGTTACTTTTCCCCCAACGCCTGTCATTGTTTTTTTCTATCAAGGTAGAATGTTTCTTCAGATGACTGCTGGCATTTGGCTGATTCATATTAAAGGATGAGGCCTTTAAAAACTAATTCAATGGGGTGCCTAGGTGGCTCAGTCAGTTAAGCATCCATCTTAGGCTCAGGTCACGATCTCACGGTTCGTGGGTTCGAGCCCCATGTCAGGCTCTATGCTGACAGCTCAGAGCCTGGAGCCTGTTTCAGATTCTGTGTCTCCCTCTCTCTGACCCTCCCCTGCTCACGCTGTCTCTCTCGCTCTCTCTCAGAAATAAATAAAAACTAATTCAATGGGGCTCTTGGGTGGTTCAGTCAGTTAAGCGTCCATCCTCGGCTCAAGTCATGATCTCACAGTTCATGGGTTTGAGCCCCACGTCGGGCTCTGTGCTGACAGCTAGCTCAGAGCCTGGAGCCTGTCTTCAGTTTCTGTGTCTCCCTCTCTCTGACCCTTCCTTGGTCGCGTTCTCTCTGACTCTCAAAAATAAATAAAAAACATAAAAAATAAATAAAAGATAAAAAATGATTCAAATCATGTGTGGTAGAGCACAAAGAGTGTCAAGTGGGTCTTCCATTAAGATTATTATATTGTCTCTGCCATCTCATTAGGATAACAGCAAATGTCAATATAAGTGAGCCCCTTTTTCTTGGGTTATGTAGTTCCTGCAGATAATAGAACATATTTCACTACATTGGAAGGCACTATTCAACAAGAAAATAAATGCATTATAAAATTTAATATAATAATTAAATTCATTTAATACAGTAATTAATAAATAATTTAATTTAATTTATAAAATTAAATCACAAAACTGAAATCTCACATTGAAACATAACCAGGACATATTTTAAATTTTTTAAATGTTTTTTATTTATTTCTGAGAGACAGAGCAAGAGAGACAGCATGAGCAGGGGAGGGGCAGAGAGAGAGGGAGACACAGAATCCGAAGTAGGCTCCAGGCTCTGAGCTGGCTGTCAGCACAGAGTCTGACGCGGGGCTCGAACCCAGGAATCGTGAGATTGTGACCTGAGCCGAAGTTGGGCGATTAACCGTAGGAGCTATCCAGGTGCCCCTCCAGGACATATTTTAAATGAGTCTACAGTTAGACCCAAAGTTGCCAAATATTTTGTACTTAAAAAATTGTTGAATGGAGGGTAGCTGTTTGTAAAGGGACTATTTGGAGATTCTTGTTTTACAACTGACAAAGTAGATTCTTAAGACTTGAATTTCACAGCTGATGAGCACATAGGGACTGAAAGCTGGAAAACAACCAGAAAGGAATGTACAGATGGTCACCAATTGCAGGCTTGGGTTGACAAAGTAAGTCATATAGAGTGATAAGATGGAGGACATAAAATAAAAGGCAACAAAGGAGCTCACTAGAAGCAGGACACTGTAAGTGGCAGTGGTCTCTGGGGAGGCTCTGGGAGAGAGACTGATTCGGTGAAGGTACTGGACTCTCTGCTTATGTCTTTGCAGGAAGAACACTATGGAAATACTGGCCCAACACATGGGTCCCAAACACAAAATATCAAGAGAGGTAAACAGGAATGCACAGAATGAGTTTATGAATGCATTGGACCCATTGCCAGAACACAATCCAAACTCCTTTTTTGTAATGTTTCTAGTATTCCCTGGGTGAGTCACTTTCACTGGCACAACAATATTTATCAGAAGATGAAGAATACAACAGAGGCAACAGGAGGGTTGAACAAACTTAGGAGCTCTCAGTTTGAGTTGTGCCCACCTGGAATTATTAAGACTGATAGCGATAGTCTGGAAGCCACTCAAAAGGCAGGTGGTGCACAGAGAAACCCCTCGGGTCACCCTGTGAGTATAAAAGATAATCTTACACATAGCTTCTCCCAGGAAATTGTCCAAACAAAAAGCAGCCAGTGTCTGAGGGATTCCCCTAGAGAAAAGGACCAGAAAGTTGGCTAAGGCCAATTGGTTGAGAATTTGATCTATAGGTTTCTGAGTGTGTTTAGAAAACAAAGTCAATATATAGAAATAAAGAAGTGGGGCGCCTGGGTGGCTTAGTCGGTTAAGAGTCCAACTTTCGCTTAGGTCATGATCTCACGGTTCGTGGATTCGAGCCCCGCGTCGGGCTCTGTGCTGACTGCCAGCTCAGAGCCTGGAGCCTATTTCAGAGTCTGTATCTCCCTCTCTCTCTGACCCTCCCCTGCTCACTCTGTCTCTCTCTCTCCTAGAAATAAAAAAAAAAAAAAAAAAAGAAATAAAGGAGTAAGGAATTCCCTAGGAGCCCAGTTCCAGTCTGGAAGAGAAAGAGAATCCCCATTACAAACTCACAAGAAGCCATAATGTCAGTGCCCAGAAGGAGTTTGTTTTATTCAAAGCCAGATGATCTAGAAAGAAATAATATGTATATTATTTTCTTTTGTATGGCAAGTTCACTGTTACTAAATTTCACCCTTACTCATATTTACAAAATCCAACTCCATAATATTGGATATATAAATATTTTTTTTTAATTTATTTCTTTTTTTTTTTAAATGTTTTATTTATTTCTAGGAGAGAGAGAGAGAGAGAGACAGCATGAGCAGGGGAGGGTCAGAGAGAGAGGGAGTCACAGACTGAAACAGGCTCCAGGCTCTGAGCTGGCAGTCAGCACAGAGCCCGACGCGGGGCACGAACCCACGAACCGCGAGATCATGGCCTAAGCGAAAGTCGGACGCTTAACCGACTAAGCCACCCAGGCGCCCCTGGATATATAAATATTGAGTCAAACTACTCTGAAAGGGTAATCTAGTTCTCATCCAAGAGTATGATTTGCTAGCATTTCCTTTAGGGTATGTGGATGCACATTTACGAATGACATTTTTCTAAACATAGACTACACAAGGGTAGGAAATGGTAAGTTTATGATCCCGATATTTCACTTCCTTTTCCCACTCTGTAGTTTAAATATTTTAGATTATCTGCCAACTTTTAAACAATCTGAAATTTTTTGTTTCTCTTTAAAAATTAGAAAATGCTATGATGTGGCCAGCATTCTCCCATGATAAATGATTGATGGAGCTAGGTAATGTCAACTCCATTGACTAGTGCAGGCACCCCCTAGTTCATAATAGCCTTAATGAAACCAAGTTTATCTATTCATGTTAATGGCTCAACCCTGTAACATTTATTTTTTTTAAAATGTTTTTTATTTATTTCTAGGAGAGAGAGACAGCATGAGCAGGGGAGGGTCAGAGAGAGAGGGAGTCACAGATTGAAACAGGCTCCAGGCTCTGAGCTGGCAGTCAGCACAGAGCCCGACGCAGGGCTCGAACCCACGAACCGCGAGATCGTGACCTAAGAGAAAGTCGGACGCTTAACCGACTAAGCCACCCAGGCGCCCCAACCCTGTAACATTTAAACTGACAGTTGCCTCCTTATACATGAAAAGCTTTCAGAAATATAAAGACACAAGACGGATTTTAGCAAATTTCTCTGTGAGAATGCCACTCAGTTCACAAAAATAGGTAAAATGTAGAGGATTTAAATAATGTCATCAGCCTGCCTGATTTAACAGACTTTATGGAATAATTTTAAACTGAAGAAAACATTTTAAAGTTAAACTGTACATTCTCCTAATTATACTGAAGGCAGTAGAAGGAAGATATCACTGAAGATAATATAATAAGTAAATAGAAATAAAAATGACTCTATAATTGACAAAAATATAAAAGATATATGAATGAGTCTAACATTGGTAAATATGGTCAAGACAAAAGGGAAAAAACTAACAACTTTATAATGGTAAAAGATTATAGTAGATCTAGATAGGCTTTAAACATCCTAAGAGGATATTACGTGCACAGGCTTAAGAAACGTCTTTGTTGATGGATGCAGAAGAAGGAAATAATTTTGGAGAGCTTTGATATTCTGCACTTGCTGCTCCCTTATATTGTAGTTAGAGGATATAATTGGTCCCCATCCATAGCACTAGATAATGATATCCCAGGTGGGATGACATTGGATGGGGTTATCCAGGAAGATTAAAAGCCTTGCTGAGTTGAGAAAATGATGACATCAGACGTAGGATAATCAGCTCTCCCCAGACGCTCACTCCTTCTCTCTTTCTCCACCAAACACCAGAAAAGCAGATTATAAAGAAATCTCCCCCACCAAGTTCTGCTCTGTCATTAGTGTTTAAAGTGGGGTTCCTGGCCAGGGAAGTTTTCTAGGGGAGTTGTAAATACCACTCCCACTGGTCTTAAGGATTAAGTGCCTTCAAGTTGACACACTCCTTACTTGCTGACCGAAGTCCTTTTGATCCATAGCAGACGATGACTGGCCTTGAGGAGAGAAGGATCAAAACTTTCCCATGCTACAGAAGTCAGCAAGTCTGTTTGAAGCCACCTTGATTTATGATTAGCCTAGCAATTTTTTTTTTAGTAAAATGCTCTTTTATTAGGTCACACAACTGATTGTCCTGACTTCCCTTTGTGATCTGTAGACCTTGCCTCCCTTTGCAGAAAGAACACAGTCCTCCTGTACATCACAGAACAGGAACTGAAGCCCCTTGACCAACCCCAGAGCACTGAGGTGATATTTGTCGCTGGCATCGTCGACTCCACGCGTAATCGAGAAAAGTTACAGGGGCGCCTGGCTGACACAGTCGGTGGAGTGTGTGACTCTTGATCTCGGGGTTGTGAGTTTGAGCCCCATGTTGGATGTAGAGCTTACTTTAAAATAAAATTAAAAGAAAGAAAGAAAAGTTACAGAGCAATGCACTGCCTTTACGGATTAACTTCCTTAATCCCTCTTAAAACCCCTGGGCCAGGCAGAAACCTTGGAATTGGAGACAGGAAAGCTCCCAAAGTGTCTAGTGAGGAAGGACGCTCAGAGAGAGGAGGGAGGGAGGCAGGTAGGGCAAGGAAGAGAGGCTAATAAAAAGCAAGGGTGTGGTCATGGACTGATCTCATGGGGCCCTGGTGCTCACAGTGCAGCACAGTGAGCACAGTATCCCACTGAGGCAACAGGCTGGGCTCACAGACTTCATTTCAGTCACCATTGGCCGCTGGCCATTCTGGTGACATTGCAGGGGACGTTGCACTGCCTCTAAGGGCAATGCAGAGAGAGGTGCAGGTGTGAGGCTTTCGCAACCAAAACTCACAGCAACTGGGATATGGGTGCACCAGTCATGTTTGAGGGGGTCCCCACTTCAACCTGGCTTTGAGGATTGTGGAGTCATGACCATCCAAGCAGATTCTGTGATAAGCTCCCAGATTCCAATGTGTTATGGTGAACAAGCAAAGTCATTAGAAACAAGTCTAGAGTAGAGAAAGAAGCCTACGCATGAGATAATGAAAACCAAAAACAGGGAATAAGAACATGGACATCCAGGGTCTCCTGGGTGGCTCAGTCCGTTGAGCATCTGACTTTGGTTCAGATCACGATCTCACGGCTTGTGGGTTCGAGCCCTGCGTCAGATTCTGTTTCCCTCTCTCTCTGCCCCTCATCAGCTCCTGCTCCTTCCCTCCCTCTCTGTCCAAAAAATAAACATTAAAACAACTTTAAAAATTGAGAAAATAAAAGAACATGGACAAGCAAATATTTAGGAGGATCCAGGCTTCCTTTGTCAAAAAGAGCACTATATATATAAGGGCACGAAAGGACAAAGGAGTGAGTCATTCAAGGGGAAATAGCGGGAAATCATATACTCAGACAGAAAAGGCAGACCCAAGGTAAGGGAGGGTTTTCCCTTCTTTAGGCAGTGGCCGTTAGCCAGGAGCAAAATGGCAGCCTTCACCTCGTTCCTGCAGCTACCAGCAACTAATGTTGAAAATAACCCTATATTCGGTGGGCTCTTTGCTGGGCCCTGCCCTTGTATGGCATGTTTTCTTGATGGCATTGTTTCATTTCCTGTCACACCAAGAGCAGGGTAGGGTCAGACCTAGGGATAGTTCCCTGAATTAGAGCCCCAAAGTCAGGATTTCCTGTCTTAATGCCACGGCCCATTTATTACTCTGGCTCTGATGATGTGGTCAGTGGGTGGTTTTATGTCCATGATTGATTCTGGGAAAGAAATTCAGGAATATCGCTCTCCTTAAGAGAGTTAGAGTCAGCAACTACATTCCTCTCCTTTGGTCTAAGACGAGCCTGAGAAGAATATGATTTTTGCCTTTTCCTCACACCCCCAAAGGGATGGCTTTCTATGAACATTCAGAAGCCAGTTGTGACCACTGAGAAAACAAGAAAAAAAATGAACCTACATTTTCTATGTCCATGCTTAAAGCCAGACATGTGTATTATTTATTCCTCATAATATTCAGACAGTGGAGAGTCTGTGCTCCCCCGCTTTTAAGAAAGGGTGTAAAAGGTTGGGAGAGAAAAGAAGAGCATTCTAGCAAGTCTAATAGTGACATGCGATGGACAGGAGATTTCAGGAAGGCAAGAACAAATAGGAAAGCAAGGGAAAGAAGATAATTCTAAATAAAGTACCAACACAAGATATAATAGTGCCCTCCTGAAGGCCATACATTTCTCTCTAATCCTCAGATTTAATATAACACTCTTCCCTCCCCAGGTAAGAAGCATATTAGGATTCTAAGATAAAGCTCTGACACTGAAAGTGATTTTTTCTGACATTTTCTAAGAGGAGGAAAAAGAAAAAAAACTCACCAAGCAGATCTCTGATACCTGGATAGTGAGCCTGTCATGGCTGGAGTTTATGCCTGAGAGGGTGAGAAAGCACCTGACCCCAAGTTATAGGTTAGGGACACCATGATCTCATTTCACACCAGTGCAGCAATTATAATGTCACCAGTAGCAATGACAATGTCTGTAAGGGGAATTGATAATATCCCTGAGAAACTGTTGACCCAAGAAAAATAAATAACATGAGTAATACTTAGTGAGAAAAATCCAGAGAGACCAACATAATTTGCAGAGAAACTTTTCTGTAATGTGTAGAAACAGACAGGCCTTGAGAATGGAGCAGAGGGGACTTGTGTGTCTGAGTACAGAGCCTTTGGAGGCACAGCATTAGTGACAAAGTCCTGTGTCCCCGTGGTGACATTTTCATCTACCTGTATCCTTGTCTGACACCACAAACTTGATCTTGAGCAGCCAAGGATTCCCTTTTCCCTTTAGCTCTAGGGCTATCGCACTGCTGAAGGAAGTGATTGCCTTTTTTTTTTTTTTTGCCTTTATTTTTTTTAATCTTGTTTATTTATTTGGGGAGAAAGAGAGAGAGCAGGGGAAAGGGCAGAGAGAGAGGGAGAGAGAAAGCCAAGCAGACATCACGCTGTCAGAGCAGAGCCTGACTCAGGGCTCGATCCCACAAACCATGAGTTCATGACCTGAGCTGAA